CCTGGTAGACTTGACGTGAATAGGTTGAGCCATGCTGTACACTCTTCCGTCGGTGCTACGCTTGATGCGCAAGGCGGATATGCAACCCCTAACTAAGCCACCGGCCGGTATGATCAGACATGCAGCATGCAGACATGCCGCGTTGGAGGGCATGGCACCGATATTCTACGGCCCATTCGTTGCTGCCGTGCCATCGAGATCATCACATACCAGGTACTAATCTCGAAGTCCGACTTGGTGATCTTTGTCTCTTTCCATCGAAGCCTCTCCCTACAGCGCCATCCTTTTCCCCATTCTCAACCATGAAAATGTCGTCTTTCCGCTTTCTGCCCTACATGCGACGCTACGCTCGAGAATATCACTCTAGACCGTTTGTTCATTTGCCAGTTGTAGCGATCATGTCAATACCTAACTATAGTTTTTTCAGGGGCATTGTATAGAAGATTTTTACAGTACCAATTGTAACCCCCCCGAGATATAATTATGGCTTCAATGGGATAGGCGGGGCATCCAAGAAGCCCCTGAGCTCTATCAGCTCACGCTCTGAGTATTTATCTGAAAGTGTCGCAAGTGTCACCCAGCTAGGAGAAATACAAGCTCTCTTGGATTCTCGCGGATCCTGGTCATAAGGTCAATGGGTTTCGCCATGTCTCCGGGTCCCTCTCATCCTGCCTCGGAAGATGATGGGCGTCCGATCCGGAACCAGTCTGTATCTCCGGTCACATCTTGCTCCCATGGCCGCATTTCTAGTTATCTCGCCTCCTGTGTCACCAGCCTGGATGGCGCATCAACCACAGCAGCCAATATCCCCTCCGAGGCCGGAGGTTATGCATCCTTTCTGTCCAATTCGACTACAGTGACTAGGGCCCATATCTGCGAAGACAGCGAATCAAAAATCTCTATAGGTGGACATCAGGGGAATGACCCGAATCATTTTCTCTCGGGGTGGTGGTGGTGGTGGGAAATATTCGCCATGGCCCTCAGCATCGCCTGCATGTGCGCGCTGGTAACGCTGCTGACCATGATGGACAGCATGCCTCTGCAGAGCTGGTGGCTGCCGATACAGCTCAATTCGCTTGTCGCCGCCGTGACGACGATAGCAAAGGCGTCAATGATGGTGCCAGTGGTGTCCTGCATCGGACAGCTGAAGTGGCGTCACTTCATGGAAAAGCCGCGGAGGCTCATCGATCTCCAGCTCTTCGACGATGCAAGCCGCGGTCCTTGGGGCTCTGCGGTCTTGCTATGGACCTTGTGCTTCCGAGCACGACTCTTGGTCACATTTGGCCTCTCCTTGGTTACGATTGTCGCCCTCGGTATCGAAACCAGCGCGCAGCAAGTCATAGCATTCCCCTTGCGAGAGGCGCGGTTGAACAATGTATCGGCAGAGCTAGGCGTAGCTGATACATACACCACCAAGAGCTTTCCCCGTCAGACAGGTACCGGTATGGTCTACTTTTCATCATACTAAGCGTTGCCTCGACAGGCTGTACTGATGATCTGGATTAGGTATTTCCCATGATGTGCTTGCTCTGGAGACCTCACTCACTTATCGATGCCGTGACCGGAACCATCGCCAAGCCGCATTTCGCTTGCCCCGAGCCGGCCACCCGGTGTCAGTGGGATACGTTTACAACCCTGGGCGTCTGCGCAAATTTCGACAACGTCACCGACGTTGCTGCGTCGCAGTGTGTCAATAACACGTCTGGTACCAGCTGCACTTACACCGTTCCAGGGGTGGCTGCTTTGAATCTGAACCGTTCGGATCTCGAGTGTATTTCACATAGTGAAAATTGTCAGTCGTCTGACGCATTCTTCCAGTCCTCTTTTCAACGAAATCAAATTCTGACTGGTCCTCTGGATACCTTCGTGGCAATGAATGGCTTGCAGAAAGGCGAACGCCGGCGGATAACAGATAATGGTTTCACGCCGCCAACTCTCCAAGTCTACTCGAACACTCTCACTTGGTGTGCGCAAACTTTCAGCAATATCACCGGGTCGCAGGTTGATATTAATAGCGGCTCCGTGTCTCGGGAAGACTTAAGCTTCGTCGCTTACTGGAGAGACGAAAACCCAGACGGTACGATGGGAAGATCGTATTACTACTTCGGGGCGAATTCCACGTGCCATCGGTTCAGTATCTCGTAGGGAGCTGCTGAGTCTCTACCGATGTCTCTTGACAGTCTGCTCAGTAACGTATTTCGGCACGAGTATTCTCACGACTACCTCGGACCGGAGGGCCAGTCACTACGGATCAGTTTTTCTCTCAAGGGCTCAGATCTCAACAAGGCCATGGCGAGCATCGCAGACACGCTGACGAGCCTGATACGAGCGAAGGACCACGGCGACAATTACAACGCTTCGATCGCCACCGGGGCCGCCTTCTTCAACGAGACCTACATACACGTGCGATGGGGTTGGATGGCGCTGCCCCTGTCAGAGGTGCTGCTGACCGCTCTCCTGCTCGTAGTGACAATCGCCATCACACGAGACCAGCCTCTTCTCGGACAGTCGGTCGTGGCACTGCTGACGAACGGGCTCGAGGGCTGGTCGAGCGACGAGCTGTAGATGCCCCAACTACAGACTCGGGAGAAGCTGGACGAGCTGGCAGAGCGGATGCTGGTCAAGCTGGAGGCTGGCGATGCAGGCCGTCTCAGGTTCCTCAGAAGTGGTTCCTGATTGTGTACGTCGGCGGGGCACGGGGTTTGCCCAAGCATTATATATACCTAGGTACCTTAGGTAGTGGGGAACGCACAAATGAAATGACTTAAGATTTCGCCGGGCGTCGTCGTACGAATCAGAAGTTGGGGCGTTTGGTGGCGTCTCTTCAGTCACGGAGATGCGGTGGGGGATTATGCACATACAGAGGGAGAGGGGTTTCGAAAACGGGGCTGAGGGGTTCGATAAGGAGCTGGAGGTGCGAACTGCCGGTAGGTGGGGAATCCGAGTCTCCGGCCTCGGGGTTGTGCTGCAGCGATCGTGACTTTGGCGATAGGCTAAAACCGGCCAATCGCACCAAATTATCCGAACCCCCGACCCTTTGTTCGATCCACCGCCTGCATGCCTATAAAAGAACTAGGCGCGGCACCGATATAGCGTACTTTCGATTCCGGAATACCTAGCCTGGACCCCGTTCCCATCCAGAAAGAAGCCATGTCGACCTTTTCTGTGAGTAGAAACCATATCTTCCTCTGCCAATCATGCTGGCTGACACTACAACCGCAGCGTCTCGTCCGTTTCCTTGCCAAGAATGGCAAGACGTACTACGGGGATGCCATCCTACCGCAGGGCGTGACGGACATCGCAAAGACCAAGCAGGCCCGCGTCATCAAGGGCGACATCTTTGGCAAGTACGAAGTCACTGACCAGGTCGCCGACGTCCGCCTGCTGCTGGCGCCGCTGGCCTTGGAGGACGTCAAGACGGTCAGGTGTCTGGGTCTCAACTACGCTCTGCACGCGAAAGAGGTCGGGTCCCTTTCTTCTCTGCTTCAACTGCTCTGAAGACTCGACGACTATGTAGATTCTAACAGTTCCTCTTTCAGGCCGGTCTGCCGCTGCCCAAATACCCGGTGCTGTTTGTAAGTGGCACATTTTACCCCTCCTCAGCCATATCCCTTTCTCCCCTCTCCTCTCTTGTGTTACGATGACGGGGACGACAGCACGTGCTGACCAAGCCACGTAGTACAAGCCGGTAACTTCTCTATCCGGGCCCACGGACCCGATCCCCGTCCACCCCGTCGCGCAGGCCGCGGAGGGTGAGCTGGGGCTGGACTACGAGGTGGAGCTGGTGGTCGTCATCGGCAAGGAGGCGCGCGACGTGCCCGAGTCGGCGGCGCTGGACTACGTTCTGGGTTACGCTGTAGGCAACGACGTATCGCACCGCGACTGGCAGATCACGCGGGGCGGCGGCCAGTGGTCGCTCGGCAAGGGCTTCGACGGCTGGGCGCCGTACGGGCCCGGCATCGTCTCGGCCCGCACGCTCACGGACCCCCAGACGATGCGCATCACCACGCGCCTCAACGGTCAGGTCGTCCAGGACAGCAACACGGCCGACCAGATCTTCAACGTCCGCCAGACCATCGCCTTCCTCAGCCAGGGCCACACCCTCCTGCCCGGCGACCTCATCTGGACCGGCACCCCCTCGGGCGTCGGCATGGGCCGCAAGCCCCAGCTCTGGATGAAGGACGGCGACGTCGTCGAGGTCGAGATGGAGGGCGTCGGCGTCGTCACCAACAAGGTCGAGTACACCAAGGGAGCCGCCGACGCTGCCAAGCTGTAAGCCAGCAGGCAGCGATCGTCGTAGATGTTGGGGACTATCGTTATACGCAAGTATGTACTTGTTGATCATCAGACACACCTAAAAAAGAAAAAAGAAATTCTACGTTCACCAACATCTTGTGTCGACTTTTTTCAATTAAAGTGCATGAGCCGTCTGGCATGATGATTCAGATCTACCTGATTATCTTCTATGTTTGACAGTCAACTACCTATACACACTTAGCTCTACCGGCAGCAAAAACGTTGCGGAAATGCTATTTTCATGAAGTTCAACTCATTCCAGCCTCCTTCGGCGATATATCTAGTTCCGGCACGTCACTGCCGCACCACTGGACCTCAGCTAGCGTCCGTGCCCACGTGGAAAAATCAACGGCAAGTCTGACGGCATCTATTGTGCATTAGGTTCAGGCCCTAGCCAGGCCGGCTGGCTGGGCAGGGCAGATAGAAGATGCTTGGCATTCAGGGTTTGACAGATATATAATCGTGAGTCAGCTTGAAGCTCGGCTTATTAGGTTAGGTATTTCTTATAAACAACGCCCACAAATTGTGGGCTTAAAACTGCGATGTTATAGTTTCTCGTATTCTACTTCTCTCTCATTTTCGTGAGACGCAAAAGTGTCTCCAACTCAGCATCCGCTCGACGGAGATAATTAGGACCCAGTTCGTAAAATGGACCGGAAATCCTGAGGTTGACAAAAAAAGAGAAAAAAATTATAAGTTGAGATAGGCCCCGCCGAGGATTGAACTCAGGTCTCAGGAATTTTTTTCTATCAAAATCCTGCGTGCTAACCACTACACTACGCGGCCGCCATTGGGATAGACTGTGGGTCTCCTATACTGTTTGATATAACGGGAATAGGTGGGCACCTCTGGTCTTGAGAAAAAGGGGCTTTGACTACTCAACTAGAAAGGAGGATCTTCGGATAACAGCGTACTATGGATGTGCAGCATTGGAATTTCTGTTTTTGCTCTTTCATAGTGCAGAATTAGTCTATGTTAAGCACTTAACATAAGGGAATACTGCGTAGACAGACTGGATATCAAAACAGCTTCTATATAGTATTTCACAACTGGGAACCTCTCAGATTATTGTGATGGCTGTCACCATTCAAAGAGACCAAGGGCTAGTATGGAATAACGTTACTCGCAGTGCCCATATATCCTTCTCATAATTCACTAGATAGGTCCCTGGGTAGTAACTGCAACTATGTGGATGGCATGTCTAGTGGGATGAGATGTCAATGGCTATTTTGTATTTTTGGGGTTAAGAGACTTTCTAAGACATGATACAAGGCATACTCTCCGTGACATTTTTTTGAAGTCCATAATCTTCCTTAGAACAGAGTCCCGTCACCTAGAATGACTATAGGACTCGACCTAGAGTGCGGCCGAAACTTGGCAGCAAGTTCCCGGCCTCCTTTCCAAGTCCCAGCTTCCAACATCTGCGCCATGCTCAGCTCTACGCCCAGCTTAGCGAAATGGGCCGAGATGGGCTTGTGTAGCTCGTCTAGCAGAGCGACTGTCATAGCCCTCCACTCAACAACTGTATCAGACGACTCGGGGAAGGCGGGCAGGTCTTGGCCTGAAGGGGTATGTGCCTTAGCAAGGTCGGGCTTTAGCTTCAAGGCGCCAAGGTCGACGAAGAGACCACCGTTGCGGTACTCGGGCAGCCCCGTGCCTAATTGGGCGTTGATGACCTGGAAGTCTAGCACGCGTACGAATGGTACCATGAGGGAATATCCGAGCCATTGTGTCAACTTGTGGAAGGGCTGAATGATATCTACATCCCGACCACCTTTCGCATTGGAAGACAAGACGTCGAGTGGCCAGGCGTCGCCGATAGGGAATCCTTGGATACGGGGACGGTCCGCAGGCCAGGACGGAACAAGAATCTGCTGCAGCGTCGCCCAGAGCAATTCATAGTCAATCGTCTTGGAGTCACCCGAGAGGTTTGTGAGGTAGTCTGAGGACCTCAATATCAGATACACGTCCAGCCGGGATATACGCATCAGGTAGGTGTTCACGTACCGACAAGATTACCAGGTCTACCCGTGGGACCTACGATATCCTGCAGTCGAAGGAGTGATTCCCCCACGCTATTCAGCAATTTCACGCGGGAGGAGACACCAATGAGGGGGTTCTCCGGTGTAACCTGAAAGCCTTTGCTGAACATATCATCGGTGAGCTTGACGAGTGCCGCAGCTATGAGTAGACGTTAGCTCCAGACAAGGGAGCAAGACCCGGACATAAAGGACAGAGTATACCATCGACTTTATGAGCACCAGCTTCCTGGGTAAAGTAACCCGACTTGAACATGTACAGCGAAGCCATGGCCGTGCCCTCGCTGCGGCTGTACACCAGACCACTTCCGGGCTCTACAAATTTCCAGGTGTCGCCGGCACCAGCATCGACCAACACCGACACGAAGAACAAGTCAATCAGTCGCCTGGTCAGTTCCATCTTATCGCAACCATCCTTGGCCCACTGATCCAGCAGCGGCTGTACGCGGGGGATCCCGCCGACATCGAAGTGCTGCCAGCGGCCGTGAGGCGGGATGCTCGAGAAGCGATCAGGGCCAAAGTCGCGCTATCATATTGTTACTGGGCCGCAATCAGGAGAGAATGTGTAATTTCGCCTGATCCAGAAGCGAAGTTAAGAAATCTTACCTCGATGACGGATATGACGAAGTCTGCCACGGCAGACATGCGCTGCTCGTCATATTCGAAGCTGTTCAGACGGCCCTCTCGGGCTGCCGTGAAGACGACCTGGGCCCGTTCACGAACAGCCTGAAGACTGAGCAGGTAAGCAATATCAGGGGACGGAGCCCACGACATGGTCCGAGACATCCTGGTCGTTCTCTTGGGATGCTTGCTTCGGGACGTTTTACGGATCGGAGATACGATCTTTCCTTGAACGGGCTTGGTACTATGGCGAATGAAACCGAAGCTGAGGAATAAGATGGAACTGATATCTCCTTGTTCGCCTACTTCAGAACCTGTGTAGACCTGGCCTTCCGTTGTGCTAACGGATCTCCGAGGTCGGGTAGGTCGGGCAGCGTCTCAGCATGTCAGGCCAGCAGGCTGATTGCACCGGGTTCGGCAACGGGGAGCGGAACCGATGCGCCGGATCTCTTATCTGCATCTAAGCTCCTCTTAGGTTAGGTACGATTGGGCAATGACATCGCCTTGCTATCACTAGCTGATACGCAGAGATATTATGTAACTGACTCTTGACAGTTATTGTTCTTGGCGCTACTGATATGGGCGAGAAGTTAATAATTTCAGTTAGACATGAGTTTATAACCCTTCAATATCTCTCATGTGAATTGTGAATAAAGCAGAGTCCTAAAGACAGAAAGAGACTGCTGGTAATAGTCTGACGTAATGTACGGCAATGAGAAGCCGGCTCCACCTCAGCTCTCGATTTAAGCCGAGAAACAGATAGCATGTGCAATGCCAAGACCGACAATGCCATCAAGCCAATTCTGCCATTGTTCTCCGGATATGTGAATCTACTATACTCCGAACACCATCTAGCTTTTGCGCATCCTTTTGTGGTTTAGTACAGCATCAGAATCAGCATCAATGGTCCGGTAGCGTAACTCAGATAAACCAATCTTTCCAACTCGGCGTCTACGCACACGTTCCCCTGCCTTGCGCCCTTTGCCGCGCCCGTCGCAACCGAGCCGAGCCGAAACCGAACCTCTCCAATTCTCGCATCTAGCCATCCTCCTCGTTATTCCCCCATAGGTAGCAACAAAGCAGAAAGGGGAAAAGGAATAGGAGAGACGTGAAAAAGGAGAGAAGAAAATCAGAAGAAAATATGGCGGAAGCGCTAGCAACGGCCAAGGCGGCGCTGGAGCGCGTGGTGCTGGACCCGGCGAACCATGACCTGCTGGCGGTCGTCAAGGGGGCGCGGAACGGGGCCGTGTACGGGGCCAAGGTGCGGTTCCCGCACGCGCTGGTCATGGTGTTCCTGTTCCGGCCGGGCACGCTGCGGCAGAAGCTGTCGCTGGTGGCGCGCGCCACGCGCACCCACGCGCGCAACCTCGCCCGCTTCGCCCTCATCTACAAGCTCGCCTGCTACCTGCTCAAGCGCTACGGCGCCACCCCCGGCAAGGAGGGCCGCTACGACACCTTCGTCGCCGGCCTCGTCGGCGGCTACGCCGTCTTCGGCGGCCGCTCCTCCCGCTCCGGCAAGATCTCCAGCGTCAACCAGCAGATCGTCGTCTACGTCTTCGCCCGCGTCGTCCTGGCCCTCGCCCGCCTCGCCGTCAAGCCCGGCGCAGGCGGCCCCGGTCTCCCATTCGTCTCCCGCGAGGATATTTCTGCTCGCATCTCCCACTACGCCTGGCCCGTCTTCGCCGCCCTCAGCTGGGCCGGCGTCATGCACCTCTTCCGCCACCACCCCGACGACCTCCAGCCCTCCCTCCGCAGCAGCATGACCTACATCTACCAGCAGTCCGACCACTGGGACAGCCTGAGGAATTTCATATGGCACAATAAATAGATGGGAGAAAATAAAAACGGCTAGGGCACAGATGGATAGCCAGGGGTCGGCTGGGAATAGAGTGCCGGTAGAGTTATGAAGCACGTGGGCAAAGGGAGGAAGACGGTTGGAAGGGAAGCAAGGGCTTCGTTGTCATGACCAATATATATCACTGAAGGCGTTTACTCAGTTTTTTTGGACCTAATTCAGATCCAGATGTACAAATATAGCACGGGTAACATTCAGTTCGCATTTACGAAATGGTGGGAGGCACAAGACCTCTAGGCCAGTGGATATATATCGATGTTCTTTAAACTCCGTATGATAAGGGGTATCTTACATGACTCCTTTTTTGCCTAGCCGATTCCAAATTTTGTCTATGCCTGCTATACCTCACAGGTGCATCCATCCGTTGGACCACATGATCTGCATCTCGTTGATGAGGCATGCTTCCCCGGGCTCGTACCGTGGCAAGTCCCCGTCCGGGGTTTCGAGCTGCCACTGCTCTAATCTGTTATGAACTACCCGGTTTTCCAATTGGCTCTGGAAGGCGATGCCCCATCTCATGAGCCGGTTGGTCCACCCACCTACAACGGCCCAGAAAAAGTTAGGAAAGCGGTTCGTCCTGATTTGACGATAGGCGTCGACGCCGTAGGCTACCCTGACATTCGGATTTAGCCAGACGCCCTTTTCGGCCGTAAGATAGTTATCTGCATGGATTAGGCAGCACTCCGACCCCTCGAGATGTAAGTCTGCTAGAGTATCATCAATACCACGAAACTCTAGTGGCGGGTTGGCATAGAACGGAGCCGAGTCGAACACGACGATCCCATTCCAGCACGACGTTACACGAATGGGCTCGTTGAGCTCGGCAGATGCTCTAGAGGTAGGAGACTGGAACCACGGCCAATGGAGAGACACAGTCTTCAGGCCCAGGTCATCTCGGAGAGCAAAGGTGTCATAGTATAAGGGAGAGACCTTGTAGTCCATGGAGCATGCTGCGGCGTAGTTGTTACCTCGAGTCTGGAACAAGGTGACGATATCCTCTGTCTATATCAACGATTAGCCGGTCAGAGTCGCTGAAGCATGCTTCTCCAATGACAAGAGATCCTACATCGAACACTACGTCGTTCAGCCAGAGGACCTTATCGAACCTCCTCCCCTCGTCCTGCAGCTGCTTTAGTGGCCCCATGGCCTGATTCCGTACTTTGGCGAGGTACGGTATGCGGCGCAGCTCGAACTGGCTTTCGGCAACGTTCCATATCCATCCTGGCTCTCGTGCGTCAGGCGGCGGCCGAGTGTCGATCTCCTCCAATTGT